CACATGAGGAATAAAAATGCTTACTTTTTAGAATTTCCTCCTACATTATATGTTGCTTATGACCAAGTGCTTATAATTTGCTTGGAAAATAGCTAATTCTCTTACTTAGGTAAATTATTAACACAGTTTATTTACTTAGAAAATTTCTTTTTCATAAGTCAACCTCATTTTAGGCACTGCAATAACCATAAGTACCAAATTAATAGTCTCTGATGTAGAGATATTTTTACTAAAATAGTGCATACTTCTACCATTTAAAAATGTGTCAAAGTATTTAAAAATTATCTAATTAACTATAAGAATTTAGAGCTTTGGCTTCATATAAAATGCTTGTTTGTTTTTTTCCAGCTTCTTTTAAAACTATCTTGTCTGAGTATAATTTTTAGCACTTTCCTCTCTTGTTCATGAAGCTTTTCATCTCAAAATAATCTTAATCTGCACTTCAGTAATTGCAAAGCCTATTGTTATATAAGTGCTTTTTCTTAATGCTTAATGTTCTCTTTTAACATACACATAGAGTCACTATGCACTCATATTTTAAAGGGAAATGGCTTTATTTATTTATTTTTGAAGTGGTGCATCATTTAGAAGTAGTATAAGAAATAGAGCAATATGAGGAGGCGAGATAGACCCAGGACGCAGCAAAGCCAGCTCCCTGCTGCATTTCACCCCTCCTCCCTCCCTACACCTCCCCCTCTGCATCCCTTCTGATGTCCCGCCACCATGGCCATCATGCCCAAGAGAAAGGCTGAAGGGGATGCTAAAGGAGATAAAGCCAAGGTGAAGGACGAACCACAGAGAAGATCTGCAAGGTTATCAGCTAAACCTTCCTCCAAATCAGAGCCCAAGCCGAAAAAGGCCCCTGCAAAGAAGAGAGAGAAGGTAACAAAAGGGAAAAGGGAAAGCTGATGTAGGCAAAGATGGGAATAGCCCTGCAGAAAAAGGAGATGCCAAAGCAGACCAGGCACAGAAAGCTGAAGTTGCTGGAGGTGCCAAGTGTATTGAGTGCATTTTTGATAGCTGTGTATTTCTGGTGACTGTACAGTTTGAAATACTATTTTTTATCAAGTTTTATAAAAATGCAGAATTTTGTTTTACTTTTCTTTTTTAAGCTATGTTGTTAGCACACAGAACACTTCATTGTTATTTTGGGGGAAGGACATACAGTACTAATAGAATGTCTCCGAGGCTGGACTGACATGGGGGGAAATACCTTTCCCTTCTAGTTTTGAGTAACTTCCTCTTGGTTCCTGGGAGGAGGATCTTTTGATGTTGACACACATTAGCCATCTTGGCACAAACACCTTGTCGTGTGGGAAACTAAAATTCGCTTTTCTGTCCATTTCTCCCTCTCCACTTTAGCATAGACTTTGGCTCTCCTAAGCCCAGAGACCTATTGGGGCCTGACCCAAAAACGTTGATTTCCAGTATGTTGGGCAATCTGAACTTTCCAGTGTCACCACTGAGATGGCCTCCCTCAAAAGAGCAGCAGTTCCTTTTTGATTGTGGATTCTACAGATCGATGTTCTCTGCCATTTTCATTTCATTTCCTGAAAGTCAGGGTCGGCTTGTGAAAAGTTGTTACACAACATGCTCAATGTGAAATGTCAACCCTCACTCTAAACTTTCC